GCAATCTCAGAGGTCCATATGATGTTTCCCAAGATTCCTGTAAATTAGTAAATGATTCTAGACCATGGATTGATCAAAATCAGATTGAAATGTTTTTGTTTGCTTGTTGGGAACTGTGGGACTTAGCTTTAGACCAGGATACGTGATCGTCCAACGGGTCTCCAGATGAGGCAAAGCCCACAGGGACAGTCTGGCTCAACAAGGACCAGCGGACGTGGGGACAGTGCAGAAGACTGCTGGGACTGTTTGACCTGCACGCTCTCTTCTCCATCATGATTCTCTTGGCAGTTTTTAGTGTCAATTTGTCAGTCACACACGGGACAAATGTGATCTTTTTTTTAAAGATTTATTTTTTTTATTTATTATGTATACAGTGTTCTGCCTGCATGAATGCCTGCAGGCCAGAAGAGGGCACCAGAACTCCTTACAGATGGTTATGAGCCACCATGTATGGGGCTGTTGGGAACTGAACTCAGGGCAAGCAACCAGTCCTCTTAACTGCTGAGCCATCTCTCCAGCCCCCTCAAAATCCCATTTTTTTCTTGACTATTTTCCCCTAAAATTCCTTGGGAGCTGATGCTTCCCAGGTTTCTTGTCTGGAGATGTCAGGTGTCACTCCAGACCTCAGGAGCTGGTCTAATTCAGGGCTGACAGGAGGGGAGGCAGAGCACCCCTATTTCTGTAAATGTGTTTTGATCGCAGTTGTTGGTCTTGAAAATGTGTGCCTATGTTTACCACCTTTTAATTTTGTGAAGACAAAATGTATCTGGCTCGATATTTGGCCAAGCTAGCAAAATGATAAAGTGTTTTTGGTTTAAAGATGTTTTGATGTAAAAGTTGGGAGAAAACATATTTGACCTATTTGCCTTGGCCAAAGGTTAATGTTGGAGGATGGGAAAAACTTGTTTGTTAATATGGAAAAACATGTTTGCTTTGATGTATAAGTAAATATGGCTGGAGCTATTCAGGAGGTGGGCACTTGCCTGAAACTCATCTTGGGGTTGAACAATTCATTTCTTTATATAAATGTCCTTTCCCTGTCTCAGGACTTGAACCCAGGCTGCATTGGGACCACAGCATTTGCTGTTTGTTTCTAACAGGCTCTCCTGTAGCCCAGGCTGGCCTTGAACTTCTGATCCTCTTGCCTCCTGCTGATCATCACACCATTGTAGGCAGAGACTGCTCATTCATTTCCCACCACCCAGACCTGGGATAATCACACAAAACTATATTAATTATAACACTGCTTGGCCAATAGCTTAGGTGTACTCCTGGCTAACTTTTGTATTTTAAATTAACCCATTTCTATTATTTTGTATTTTAACACAAGGCTCGTGGTTTACCGTTAAGGTTCTGGGGTCTGTCTCCTTCGGCAGCTACATGGCATCTCCCTGATTCTGCCTTCTTTTCTCCTCTATATCTTCTTGGAATTCCTGCCTTGCTCTCTTCTGCCCTGCCATAGGCCCAAGCAGCTTCTTTATTCATCAACCAATAAAAGCAACACAGATAGAAGAACAGCAGACCATCACACACAGCTTTTGCTTTTTTTTTTTTTTTTTGAAAATCAAAGTGGAGTTGTATACCTCACTACAATCAGAAGGACATATTTTTCTCTCTTTAGTGATGAGTTTTGGTTGCTTGTTGCCTAGATACATTAACTTACTAGAGGTCATAAAATGCAGGAATTACAATTGTGTTATAGTATCTTTTTTATTTACTTAATTTTGAGATAGGATCTCAAAAATAGTTATTTTTAACATATAGTAAATACTTAAATTTGCCAGAAGTTTATTTCTGTCTTTAGTAGTCTAGGCCTGCCTGGGATGCTTCAGCTTCCATGTATTGGGATTAAAGGTGAATGCCTCCAGGCTGTGTATCACCTTTATTTATTTATTGAATATGTGTAGAAATCTCCCATTATTTTAAGATAAGGTTTCCATAAGAAAAACAAGATAAAAGTAGGAATGGTGGCCCACACTGGCACGGAAGCACATGGCAGGCAGATCATCCTAGGTTGAGTTGAAAGCTAACTTTTGAAACTTTGTCTTTAAAAATACAAAAAACAAAAACAAAAGGAACAGGGCTGGTGTTCCAGTAGTACCCTGGACCCACAAAGTGGACAGAGAGCCAGGCCCTGCAGTCGCCCTGAAACTTCCACTCCTGTGCTGAGGCACACACAACTATGCCCGTTTACCCACAAGTATATAAATATAAATAAATGTAACAAAAATTTTTCAACAAGCGGTGGCACACGCCTTTAATCCCAGCACTCGGGAGGCAGAGGAAGGCGGATCTCTGTGAGGCCAGCCTGGTCTACAAGAGCTAGTTCCAGGACAGACTCCAAAACCACAGAGAAACCGTATCTCGAAACCACCCCCCCAAAAAAATTAAAACAAAAACAGTGTAACTATTTGATGCTTTCCTTTCACCAACAGTTTTCAAAATGGAGTGATACAACAGCTTTCTCCGATAATGGCCAACCAGTTTTCACTTTTAAGTATAATTGTGAATTTAGGTTTAAAATATTTTGTGTGTTTCAATTCAATACATACTGTAATAGACTTGCTTTTGGGCCACCAACTAGCTCCCAAAACATGACATGGAAACTTATTATTAATTATGCATTCTCAGCCTTATTTTTTTTATTATTTTTGTTTGTTTGTTGTTTCAAAACAGGGTTTCTCTGTATAACAGCCCTGGCTGTCCTGGAATTCGTTCTGTAGACCAGATTGGTCTCGAACTTGCAGAGATATGACTGCCTCTGCCTCCTGAGTGCTGGGATTAAAGATGAGCACCATCATTGCCTGGCAAATTATCAGCCTTATGCTAGTCCCACTAGTTCTTCTAACTTCAATTAACCTGTTTCTCTTCATCTACATTTTGCCTTGGGGCTTTTTACCTTTCTTTCATGCTGTATGTCCTTCTCTGTTCTGACTGGCTTGCAAATGCCTGTCCCGGCCCTCCTTCTTTCTTCCTTATTCTCTTTTCTCTTCTTCTCTCAATCCTAAATTCCTCCTCCTACTTACTCTTTCTGCTCACCAACCCCGCCTATCCCTCTCCTTCCTAGTTATTGGCTGTTCAGTTTTTATTAGATCAATCAGGTGCCTTAGGCAAGCAAGGTAAAACAGCAACATATTTTTGCATAAGTATACAAATACAACATAAACAAATGCAACATACCTTTACATAGTTAAAGTAATATTCCACAACATTCAGTATCCATTCTGATAATTAATTTGTTCCATCTTTTGTAAATGGCAACAACCATATTCTAGCTTCCTTCTATTCCATTTGATACATTCTTTGTTTGCTTGATTGGTCTGAAACAGGATATCATTATGCAGCCTTAGCTAGCCTGGAACTCCTTATGTAGACCAAGAGGTCTATATAAACCCATAGACATCCATTTCCTTCTACTTCCTGAGTGCTGGGAATAAAAACCTGTGCTGCCATGCCCACGTTGATATGGTATTTTAAAGTTTTACTACCTATCTTGGATAACTCCTGGCCCAAAATAGGAATAAGCTATTTCTACAAGGAATCCTGGTTGGTTTGTTTCTTTCTTCCTTCCTTTTTTTTTTTTCAGGGGGAGGATGTTTTGAGATAGGGCTTCTTTGTGTATCCTTGGCTACCCTAGAATTGGTTCTGTAGATCAGGCTGGCCTCGAACTCAGAGATCTGCCTGCCTCTGCCTCCTGCGTGCTGGGACTAAAGGCGTGCGCCACCACTACCCAACTGAATCCTGATTTCTAATAGTGGAAAATCATACTTACGTATCACAACTTAAGACACTAGAAGTGTTCATCACTACATAGTCATTGCTTCTAGGTTGTTTTTTTTTTTCATTATAAATTAGGGATTTTTAAAGACAAAATGCTGTGAACACAGTTACCTTTGCAATTTAATTTCTTAAACTTAACTTTTTATGTTTATGGGCATTTTGTCTGCACATATGTCTGTGTGCCATATGGATGTGTATCTGGGCCTGGAGACTGAACTGGGTGTAGAGCTGACAGGGCCAGAGGCTTTGGTGACACATTAAGCAGTGCTGTGCCCTTTCCCTCGGCAAATACTGAGGGGGGTGACCCCAGAAATGCCCACAGGTGCAAAAACAGGACACAAATAAATCCCGTAGTTCTAATAACATCTTCTGAAAGTCAGAATCTTTCTACAGAAGTATATTCTTGACTCTCTTCTCTCCCAATCCCAACGCCTCTTCCCCATGCATAGATAGTCTTCAAAAACATCTGCTCTGGTTCTTCCCCTTGCCTCTGTTATTGTCTTCCTACACCCCCCACACACAATCTAGACACTTCGGATTTTGTGTGTATTGATGAGGGGAGGGAGGAGGAGTTGTTGCACAGACTAGCATCATGGAGACGTGGAGATGGGATAGACAGCTGCAGAGATCCGAGCCGGACTGACTGAATAAACCCTCCTCCCAAACAACTGTGCTCTCGGATTTCTTCTCTGAACAGCTGGGCCTTTCAGCTTCTGAAATGCTTGGAAGAGATGGGGGAGGGTCTCAGAATTATGTTTGCTGTCCATCTTCAAAGCCAGACACCTCCACATCCCATACGTGGAAATTCAATGGGATACTCAGCACAGTAAGGATGAGGGCAATAAATAAGAGACATTTAACAACCCACTGCCATTCTTAAAGGCCGGGAGCTCATTACTGAGAATGCTGGAGGAACAGATTGGCAGGGAAGGTAGAGCATACAAGTTGGAGTTATATGTGACTTGGCTATCATGTTTCTTTATTCTCTCTCTCACTTGGTACCCAACAATCCATATTTCGTCCACCCTGTTCTTCCTTCTCACTGCCTTCACTCCCACACCCTGCTGCCACCAATGCTCCTGGAATTTTGGACTTAGCTATTTTTAAAACTGTCAACTCAGTAGCCACCTCCCTCCTCCTCTCAGCTGTCGAGTCCTCGGCCAGCCATATACTCTCCCTTCCCCCTCCCCCTACACCAAACCTTCTCTGGCTCTCTGACCTCGGTGAGATTGCAGCTAGTCTGGGGAACTGGGAGAGACATGGAGAAAGAGACTGGGGACCCCTGGCTGGAGCAGAACAACAGAATAGGCAACTATGGCTGGCGAACCGGGTATCAGAATAATGTTTGACCTCGGGAAACAGTAAGTTCAGATGATATTGCAATTGCTTTGATAAGCGTTTGGGCTGAGGCTAGAATTTCATAAAATTACAGACATCTGTTCTGAAAACTAAGATTTCTCCTTACCAAGTCCCCCAGTCTCCACTTCTCCGGCCTCATTGTTTTGGTTTCCAAGTCATGTCTACGTGAAGTTTCATGGTGCCTCTTTCCGGCCCTCTTAACTTTCCTCTGCACTTTAGTACACTAAGACTTTTGGGGATAATGCCGAGGACCGAACCCAGGCCCTACCACTGAGTTACACTCCCAGCCCCTACCTCAGCCTCTCAGACCTCCCACAGGACTCTGTCCCAATTCATAGACTTACTCCAAAGAGGGGGTTTCGGCAGGAGAAAGGGAGACAGACTCTCCTCTATATCTGTTCCCTCAAAGACTAGGAACTTCTGGATTTGTAAATGGGGGTGAGGATAATAGAAAGAGTTACTCTTCAGGTCTGGAAAAACGCACACAAACTGTCAGCCAGGCAAAAACAAGTATTAATTTGAATGCTTGGTTTGTATCCTAACCCGAGACAGTGGGATCATAATGTCAGCCCTCTGGAGCAGCTAAGAGATTGGCTCCTCTTTCACAGTAAAGTGACGTTCTAAAAGGCACTCGTCTCCGATGATTGCCCTTTGTGCCCTTCTAACACAATGAAGAAAAAGAAATGGGTGGTGGTTGGCGGGTGGCAGGCCTCTCATGGTTGGGAGTGACAAGCAAGAGATATGTTTTTAGAGCATTGTCAGACCCCAGGACTTCTGGGGAACCCACTGAGACCATCAGGGCCTCACTTTCCCCAGAAATCCCTCCATTTTTGACACATCTACTATTTGGTAGTCAGGATGGGGCAATACGGTGGACTCTGCCCACTGAGGTCATTCAACCTTCCCTCCACTCCCCTCACCCCCTGCCTAGGGGTATTGCACAAGGGACCTGAAGGTGGCCACAGGAACGGCACAGGGGCTCGCCAGCCACACTCACCATCTGGAAGCCTCCCACTTTCCAAGCTTCAGTCTGTATAATTCTTGCCTTGATCTCCCCAAATTCGCTCCTCATCATCTTGACCCGTCTTCAGGCCCTTCTCTGTCCCCACACCCAGTCACGTTTCTTTTTCCAGTCACAGAACAGCCTGTCGACATTCACTAGGTAGGAGGTTCATCAGCTGGAAAGAACCGGCGCCTGGGGGAATCTGGCTGGATAGGTATGGGGGATCGCGGCCAGGCCCCTAGTCCCTGGTTCCCCCACGGCGGTCCCCCAACTCTAAGCACCCTCACTCTACTGCTGCTCCTCTGTGGACAGGGTAAGGAAGGGCCGGGGAAAGGTTGGGCACATCTAGGGTTTAGACTGTGCCGGGTGGTGGTGCGCATGTGAGCACATATGAGGGAAGGGAAGTGGGTGCTGAGTCCTAGACCCTCGCCAGCTCTGAAAGAGGCCTGTCTTGTTTCCCACTTAACTGGCAGAGGGACACAGATCCCTAAGCTCTAGGGAAAAGAAGTCTGACTGGCTTACACGGTTTTTAGTAGAGAAAAAGAGGGAAGGAGGCGAGGAGTAGGGTTGCTGAAGGTTGGGGCTGGGAAAGAGCCCCGCTGAGTGGTAGCAATGGCTGGGATGGAGGATGCCCTTTGACAGGCGTGTACTGGACTTGGCTAGGACCTGCGTCTGGGCACCGTCTCACTTTCTTTTCCTTCTGTCCTCAGCTCACTCCCAGTGCAAGATCCTCCGCTGCAATGCCGAATACGTATCGTCCACTCTGAACCTTCGGGAAGGGGGCTCACCGGGCACGCCGCGCGGAGGCGGCCGTGGTGGGGTGTCAGGTGGCTTGTGTCGTGCCCTGCGCTCCTATGCACTCTGCACTCGGCGTACAGCCCGCACCTGCCGCGGGGACCTTGCCTTCCACTCTGCTGTGCACGGCATCGAGGACCTAATGATCCAGCACAACTGTTCCCGCCAGGGCCCCACGGCCCCGCCCCCGGTCCGGGGCCCCGCCCTTCCCGGAGCCGGCCCTGTGCCTCCGGCCCCGGACCCCTGTGACTACGAGGCCCGGTTTTTCCGGCTGCACGGTCGGGCCCCGGGCTTCTTGCATTGCGCCTCCTTCGGGGATCCCCATGTGCGCAGCTTCCACCACCACTTTCACACGTGCCGTGTCCAAGGAGCTTGGCCCCTGCTGGATAACGACTTCCTTTTTGTCCAGGCCACCAGTTCCCCTGTGGCGTCAGGGGCCAACGCTACCACCACCAGGAAGGTCAGGGATTCAGTTTTCCTCCCTCGCGGGTCCACCCGTTACTCCACTCCTCGTTCTCACTCTTCCTCAGCCACCCAGCTCCTGGTTCCTCATCTTCCCCAACCCCCCCCCCCCCGCCACACACACACACACACACACACACACACACACACACACACACACCCTGAATGGTTTCCTCCTATCCAAACATTTGCTTTTCTAAATCAGTTCCTCTGGATAGGAATTTTATTCAGAAGCAGGTAACACTGAAGAAGAAGCTGGGGTGGCAGCCAGGGCTAGCAGAGCTGAGGAGTCAGAAGGGACACTTTATTTTGGGGGGGAGTTGCTGAGACTGAGACAGAAAAATGGGGGAGGTTAAATAGGGATTGGATACTATTGGAAGGCAGTGGGGAATGGGATCAAGAACTGAGGACCGTGAAGACAACTTGTGTCTGCTGGAGTCAGATCCCTGACAACATACGCTGCTTGACTATGGGGAGGATGCGCTGAGCCCTAATAAACTATTTTCCTCTTTGCCTGAACAGATCACCATCATATTTAAGAACATGCAGGAATGCATTGACCAGAAAGTCTACCAGGCCGAGGTGGATAATCTTCCTGCTGCTTTTGAAGATGGTTCTATCAATGGCGGCGACCGACCTGGGGGTTCGAGCTTGTCCGTTCAAACTGCTAACCCTGGGAGCCATGTGGAGATCCGAGCCGCCTACATCGGGACAACTATAATCATTCGACAGACAGCTGGCCAGCTCTCCTTCTCCATCAGGGTAGCCGAGGACGTGGCACGGGCCTTCTCGGCTGAGCAGGACCTTCAGCTGTGTGTTGGCGGGTGCCCTCCGAGTCAGCGACTCTCTCGCTCAGAGCGCAATCGCCGCGGGGCTATAGCCGTAGATACTGCCAGAAGACTGTGTAAGGAAGGGCTTCCCGTTGAGGATGCCTACTTCCAATCCTGTGTCTTTGATGTTTCAGTCTCTGGTGACCCCAACTTTACTGTGGCAGCCCAGACAGCTCTGGACGATGCCCGAGTCTTCTTGGCGGATTTAGAGAAATTGCACCTTTTCCCCTCAGATGCGGGGCCTCCTCTCGTCCCAGCAACCGTCCTTGTACCGCTTCTTTCAGGCCTCTTTGTTCTGTGGCTTTGCATTCTGTAAGTAGGCCAGCAACCCCGTGACTAGTTTGGAAACGATTTGAGGGTAGAGGTTGGTGTGACAAAACACGAAGATGCGCCAAAGAAAACAGTGAGGACAGGGAGCTACAGAAGACAATGACATTCACCCAGAATCAGATGAGGCTGCAGCCCAGGACTCAAATAATCCCAGAGTAATGATTCTGAACCAGAGCTTTGCATTGCAAACGTTGGGAGGGGCTCTTCACTGTGAATTAATTTCCCCAGTCCCGTTTGTGGTGGACCTATTATTCCACTCCACACACACCTGACTGACATCACTCCTACATGCCTAGGGGTTGTGAGAGTGCTAATGACCAGCAAAACATTAAAGTGCTGAGATGTTGGAAGGGCAAGAGCTAAAAAAAAGGAAGACGTGATTATCTATAAGAAAGTCGATGCCGGGCGATGGTGGCGCACGCCTTTAATCCCAGCACTCGGGAGGCAGAGGTAGGCGAACTCTGTGAGTTCGAGACCAGCCTGGTCTACAGAGCGAGTTCCAGGACAGGCTTCAAAGCCACAGAGAAACCCTGTCTCAAAAAAAAAAAAAAAAAAAAAAAGTCGAACGAGGAGAAAATAATGAGGGAAAACTTTTGGGTTCAGAAATGAAGCGGGCATTGTCTAGCTCTCAGACAAAGGAAGTCAGCTTTTGGAGACTAGAACCAATACAGAAACTGGCATCCCCAGCCCTCACTAGTCTGTTATTAAAGCTATGAATTCTCCGCACTGTGCTCTGCCACCTGTGTTGAACCCCTTTCCAGATGTGTGACATGGAGTTGAAGCAATGTGTTCACTCCACTGAAAGAGGGCCCGGAGTTTTCAGCATGTATCTGCCCTTTTGGAATCCACAGACTATTAGGCAAAACTGGTTCACAGGAAGGAATCATGAGTATTACTATTATTTATTATTATCATTGTTTTTATTTTCGATGGAGCCTCACGTAGCCGAGACTGGCCTTGAACTGCTGATCCAAAAGTCTCTACTCCTCAAGTGCTGGAGTTAGAGTTCACCTATGTCTTGGAGTGTGTACGTAGTTCTTCACTAAATTCTATGGCCTTTGGGTTCACGTGGGGAGAAGGTGGTTGAGGAGCAGAGTAATGAGAAGTGAGGAATGACGCGGAGATGGCACTGTGAAGTGTGTATCATCTTCCAAGAAAGAGAACCAAGGGAATTATCCCCAGAGTCATGGCTAGTGAGCAACTAGTGGGACTCAGATGCCAAGTATGGAGTCATGAGATAGAAGGTTCAGGTAGGCAAGAGGAATTACAAAACACCATGGGAGTGGGGCTGAGGAGTTCAAACTGGTCACGAACATTTATTTAGAACTTAAAATTTGCCAGGCAATGTTATCAACACTTAAACATCTGTATAACAAAGTTATAAACACATTAAAATGCGTGAAGCTGGAGAGATGGCTCGACGGTTAAGAGCACTTTCTTGCAGAGAACTCAGGTTCTGTTCCCAGCACCCACGATGCTAACCAGTGGTCCACAACTCTAGTTCCAGGGGATGTGACATACCGTCAGGCCTCCTCCGACACCTGAACTCAATAGTGCACATAAATTCATACACACACACACACACACACACACATATAGTTTTAAGTCCTTAAAAATACATATTTATGCACCAAGGACTAGGCATGTAACTCAGTGGTAGAGCATTGAAGCAGCATGTACAGGGGTCCTGGACTTGATCACTAGTACTGCAAAATAATAATAATAACAACAACTACAACAACAATTCTTTCAGCTAGCCGTAGTAGCACACTCCAGTAATCCCAGCACTCAGAAAGTAGAAGCAAAAGGATCAGGAGTTCAAGGTCATCCTTAGTTAGATGTGAAGTTCAAGGCCAGCCTGAAATAGGAGCAGAATCCTATCGCCACCCTGCTTCTCAAAACTAAACTAAGTAGCCCGGTGGTGGTGGCGCACACCTTTAATCCCAGCACTCGGGAGGCAGAGGCAGGCGGATCTCTGTGAGTTCGAGACCAGCCTGGTCTACAAGAGCTAGTTCCAGGACAGGCTCCAAAACCACAGAGAAACCCTGTCTCGAAAAACCAAAATAAATAAATAAATAAATAAACTAAGTCAAGGTGTTTGTTTGCATAACTCTCTAAGAAAGACAGTATTCTTCTATCTATGCCTATCACTCCACACACAGACAGACGTGGATCACCGCGCCCAGCTCAGAGCAAAGGCTGGGGCGACGACTCGGTGGGCAAAGTGCTTGTTGCATAAGCTCAAGGAACTGAACTCGGGTCCTCAGTACCCGCCTAAAAGTTGGGCACAGTGATGCATGTCCGTAACTCCAACCTAGGGGACTGAGACAGGCAGATCCCTGGGGCTTACTGGTCAACCAGCTAGCAGAATGAGTGAGTGCCTTTCAGGTTTTGTGAGGCACCCAGTCTTAAGAACTAAGGTTGGGAGGGGGGCAGTGAGGTGTTCACTAGGCCCATGTGTGAACATGCTGAGTAAGGCTGTGCCACTAAAATCCCTTCCCAGGGGACATGAAGCACAAGCTATCCCTTTCACCTAAGGTCCCAGTGACAAACAAACCAAGGCATGACTCTGCCAGAGTTCACTCTGGGGAACCAGTGAATCTTTTGTTTTTTGTTTTTTTTTAAATATTTATTTATTCATTATGGATACAATACTCTGTCTGCGTGTACGTCTGCAGGCCAGAAGAGGGCACCAGAACTCACCACAGATGGTTGTGAGCCACCATGTGGTTGCCAGGAACCGAACTCAGGACCTTTGGAAGAACAGGCAATGCTCCCAACCACTGAGCCATCTCTCCAGCCCCGTGAATCTTTTGGATGTCCTTACAAAATATAGGTAACTAGGAGGATGAGCATACAGGGGTTCAGACACTCCTCCCCTACCTGCTCTACCTGGAAAGCCTTACCCAGCAGGGGTAAGGGCTTTCCCAGAGCCACATAGAAGGATGGAGCCTCCACTCTGCTAGTCTCACCTGGCCTCTGTACACTCTAACCCACTGATTCTCAGCCTTCCTCACGCCGAGACCCTTTAATACAGTTCCTCATGTTGTAGTGACCCCCAGCCATTAAATTATTTTTGTTGCTGCTCCATAACTGTGATTTTGCTACTGCTATGAATCATAATGTAAATATCTGATATGAGACCCCAAAGGGGGTCGTGACCCATAGGTTGAGAAGCCCTGCACTAGCCCCACCCCGTCCAAGTGTACAGTTGTCAGGTGGCATCTGGATATTCTGACAAGAGATTCTCTCCTGTCTTACTCAGCTCCCCTACGAAGGGGATCATGGCAGGTGGGGAGGGGTGTGTGTAAACCATCGAAAACCCAAGTGGGATGATCTTTTGCAAAGGGGAGCAGCTGAACTCCCGAAGATGACCGCTGATTGCCTATAAGAACAGACTGACGATTGCTCCTGAATTATGCAAAGGTGGAAGGAGAAGACCAACTCCACAAAACCGTCCTCTTCATGTCCACATCTGGAACCTACCAGATGTGTGCACTAGTGTGCATAACTCCATACTCGCGATAACTAAGAAGGTGGAGGGTCGAGCTAGAGAGACAGCTCAGCAGTTAAGAGCACTTGCTGCTCTTGCAGGGCACTCAGCTCCATCTCCAGCGCCCACGTGGATGCTAACAACTGTAACTTCAATTCCAGTTTCAAAGGAGCCTGTGCTTCCTTTGGCCTCTGGGGGCGCTGCACGCAAATGGTGCACAGTCGCGTATGCGGGCAAAATACCCATAATATAAAATAAAGCTTTAAAAAATCTTTAAAAATTAAGTTAAAAATAAAACAAGGTGAGAACCCGGTGGGAAAGCTGCCTACAACAGCCTTCGGCCTCCACCCGCGAGGACAGTGAAAAGGAAGTTTGGGGGCCACAACCTCAACCCCAGCAAACAGGAAGAAGAGACAGGCAGAGCTCTTGGGCTTTGACGCCTGTCTGGTCTACATTGGGAGTTCCAGGTCAGCCAGGGCTGTATCATGACAAAAATCACCACAAATTAAAAATTTAATAAAAGTCTGACCACTCTAAATATTGTCAAGATATGGAATGCTCCAGATGTGGTAGGAATATAAAATGGTACATCAACTTTGTAAAAAAAAAAAAAAATTCAATTTTGGCAGTGGGAAAGGATGTATTCGTAGGCTGAGGGTTGACTCTGGTGCTCTTTTCCCAGGAGCTGTCCCTCCTGTTTTGTTTTGTCTTTGCTTTAGTTTTGAGACAGGAGAGGATCTCCTGCGGGCCTAAAGCTCACCGAGTGCAAGGCTGGCTAGCCAGCAAGCCCCAGGGGGATCCACCTGTCTCTGTCTCCCCAGGACATGGTTACATACTGCACCAAATTCAGCTTTTAGAATAAATTTTTATCTATTTAATGGGAAGGCCACGTGTGTCAAGCATATGTCATAGCCCACATGTAGAGGTCAGAGAACACTTTGGAGTCCATTCTGTCCTTCCATGATGTGGGGCCAAACTGAGGCTATCACGCTTGGTGTCAAGTGCCTTTACTGAGCCATCTCGAAGTCCCCCGCCTACTCTTTTTATTTTTCATATCCAGCTTTTTTGTTTTGTTTTGTCTTGAGACAGGGTCTTGCTCTGTAGACCAGGCTGGCCTTAAACTCACAAGAGATCCTTCTATCTCTACTGTCGGAGTGCTGGGATTCAACCCGTACACGCCCAGTGTCTGCCTAGTGTCCTGTTTTATTTTTGTTTGTTTGTTTGTTTTGTCAACTTAGCACAAGCTAGAGTTATCTGGGATAAGGCTCTTCAGTTGAGAAAATGCCTCCAACAGATAGCCTGTACCCACGCCTGTAGGACGTTGTCTTGATTAATGATTAATGTGGGGGTGCCACCCCTGGGCTGTGCTCCTGAACAAACTATTCATGGCATCAGCTCCGGCTTCCAGGCTTCTCCCTGAGTTTCTGCTCCGACTTCCTTCCATGGCAGAGTGGGACCTGGGGTTGTAAACTGAAACAGACCCTTTCCTTCCTAAGTTGTTTTCGGTCACAGTGTGTATCAGCAGCAGAAACCTCGCTGAGCTTCGTCAGCCTTTGAAAGATTCATTTCCATCACTTCTAACTCTGCACATGAGTGTCTCTGTGCATGTGAGGGCAGGGTTGGTTGGCTCTCCCTGGACCGGAGTTACAGGCAATGATGAGTCTCCTGATGTGGCCATTAGGGATGGCACTGTCCTCGGGGAGGTCTGAATGTACTCCCTACCCAGTCTTTTGGTTTTTAGATTTATTTATTTATTTTTACTTTATGTATGTCTGTGCACTGTGTGCATGCCTGGTGCCCTCAGAGGTCAGAAGAGGACATCGGATCCCCTGGAGCTGAAGTTACAAATGTTTATGTGGTGCCTCGTGGATGCTAGAAATCAAGCCTGGCTCCTCAGTAAGGACAGAAAGAACGGCAAGTGCTCTTAACTGCTGATCCATCTCTCCAACTCCATGCCCAGACTTTTAAATGAGGATTTCCAAGAATTAAAATTCAGGAGCTCATGCTTGCATAACAAACAAGCACTTTATCAACTGTGCTCTCTCCAGCTCTTGGTGGGTATTTTTAAAGGTGAGTATATGCTCTTGGCATCATGGAATCTGACTACAATCCTAGCATGCAGGCAGCAGAGGCAAGAGGCTCACTACAAGCTCCAGGATAGACTAGTTAGTCTATGCACATAGGTAAACAGGGACTCCAGATCAGCCGGGACTATACAGTATGATGGGGTGGGAGGGGGAGTAAGGAAGAGGATAAGGGAGAAGGAGGAAAGGGGGAAATGGAGAGGGAGGGAGAGAAAGAGGGAGAGATGGAGTAAGGAAGAGGGTAAGGGAGAAGGAGGAAAAGGGGGAAAGGGAGAGGGAGAGAAGGAGGATGAGGAAGAGGTAGAGGAAGAAGAAGAAGAAGAAGAAGAAGAAGAAGAAGAAGAAGAAGAAGAAGAAGAAGAAGAAGAAATGATTTGGGGATGTAGTTCAGTTGTTGGAATGCCTATCAGTGAGCATGAAATCCTGAGATTCATCCCTAGCACTGCTTAAAATGACTTGGTGATGCAATCCTCTAATTCCAGCACTTAGGAGGCAGAGACAAGTGGATCTCTGAGTTCGAGGCCAGCCTGGTCTACAGAGTGAGTTCCAGGACAGCCAGGGCTACATAGAAAACCCTTGTCTTGAAACCCGGCTTGAACCCCACCCCACCCCCCAAAAAAAAGAAAGAAAGAAAAGATCTAGAGGCAGAGGGATCAGAAGTTCAAAGTCATCCTCAGCTACATACACAGTGATGAAGTCAGCTTTGCTACAAAAGGAAAGAAAGAGCTGGAGAAATGGCTTCCTAAGAACTGGTTGCTTGTCCAGAGGACCTGGTTTGGTTCCCAGCACCCACATGACAATATACAGCTGTTGGTAATGCCAGTTTCATGAGATCCAGCACCTTCTTCTGGCCTCTGTGGGCACCTTGCATACATGCAGTACACATGTACATGCAGATAAAACACTTTTACACATGAAATTAAACATTTTCAAAATGTAAGAACAATAACAGTGTGTATTTACTATTAATCTAGACAGTCTACTTCTAGGAACTGATTAAAAAGAACACTCAAGGAACAAACTCATCAAAACCTGGGCCAGCTGTTCTGCAGGCTGGAGCAGGAGGATCTCAAGTCCAAAGTCAACCCAGGCAACTTAGACTCAGTAGATAAATTAATTAAATGGGACCTGGCCGGTTGGCACGAGTCAATGCTTGCAGCACTTGGGAAGATCATGTATGCACTGACAGCTGGGCTATCCAGAGACATCAGGGTGGGAGGACACTAAATTTTCTTCCATTTATATAAAAACAAAAGGATGCAAACTGACATATATTTAGAGATATCAGTGAATGCTTGGAGATGGCCAAAGAGAGGGAAAGAGGCTAGAAAACCTTGCTGTGGCGTTATTTCATGGGCATATATATATATATATATATGTGCACATATCTGCTTTTGTTTTTCAAGACATAGTCTCGATTAACAACTGCTCCGGTCGTTCTG